AGGGGGGGATTCAAAATGACACCTTTTTCACAAAAAATTGACTTTTTCAACTTAAATTTTGAAAATGTTCCGGAAAGTCTGACACTTTTATATATATCTTAAATTAAAGCTAATGTAATCTACTTTATTATGTAAAAAAAAATTTCGGACTTTATTTTGTCTTCACGGTGAAAATGGCTACCAAATGCTATTATTGTGTGAAAATTTTCGACTTTGTATTTTACATTTTTAACTTTATAATGCTATAACTTATTGAAAAGTGTATGGATCAACATAATTTTTTTATGAGAAATAATAATTTTTAATAATCCCTTTTTCATTCGATATACTTTATCTTAATCAGGATATTAATAAGGAACTATCAGTTTATGAAGCTTTTGAAATAATCCACCAATTTTTTAAAATTAAACACTATCTAAAGATTTGCATCAAAGCGTTTTTTATTGATAGTGATTTTAATCACTGTCAGATATCATTATACTTAATCCAACTATGCCACGTCACCACTGTGCCGCGACCCCCCTGTGCTGGGTTTTTTTTTTAATTTATATTCTAAATAGTAAAATCATTTTTTTCAGAGGGTAACCAAATCTAGTTGATTGAATGATTAACATTTTAACATTCGATTTGAGCACTATAATATAAAAAAAATTCTACTTTTTCTCCAAGATATTTTATGAACATTATACAAGTATTTAATTGTTTTGCTAAATATTAGTTTGTCAACTTTCACCAGTAGATAAAATAATTCATAATTAAAACATAATTTTAAAAGTTAAAAATTTCAAATTTATAAAATAATTTGAATGTTGTGTTTACAATATCAATTATTGATTTATAAATAATTACAAACTATTACTTTTATTATTATTATTATTATTATTATTAAATTATATTTTAAGTCCTAAAAAGCTAAGTTTGTGTTAAAGAGGATGAGAATTCCTATATAGAACAGCGTAACGGAATCAAACACTAATACTTACTACTCATCGAGGTACGATGCGTCCCCAACTGAGCTAAGTAGACTAATTCTATCTAGAAATTATAGATTTGACGTCTAAAAACATTACTTAGTTATATAAGTTTATATATGTACAGGATTTTTTTAGAAACTAATGAATATTTTAAATTTTTGTGAAGGAAAATATTATTTGATTATGTAGTAAATTATTATTTTTTAATCCCAATAGTAATAAAAACATAAACCTCAAATTTTTCTTTAATTGGAACCTCTATTTAGTTTAATAATATGATAAAAGAAATATATTCATAAAATTTTGTTCTCATAATTTTTTTATCCAATCAACCGTTTGCGTCATAAAATTGTTTATGATTTGAATTTAAAATTTATCATTAATTTAATTTTTACAACATAAAAAGCAACAATTATATATTTCAATGGGCAATAAATTATAATTAGTATATATTGTTGAAATCGTAAATAAAAGTAATAACAAAACTTATTTATGTAACATCATTAATAAATAATAACTATTATATGGTATATACCAAATGATTAATAGAAAATTGAACAAAATTACTCAACTTTAATAAACAAATACAGAAAAGCGATTTATCGAATCAAAAAATATTTTAAGAACAAAATCGTTTGAATATTTTTTTCTAACTATCTGTTATATACACCGTTATTGTTATCACTGATATATAATGTTATCACATGTAACAATTACATTATCATGCTTTTTGACGCTTGTTAAATGATTAATTAATGTTATAGAATAAAATAAATAATATAAAACATGGCGCAGTCGGTAGGTTAGTAAGATTAATAATATAAAACAATATCTACAAACTAAAAATAGGGATTCCCATTAAAGTTAAGGGTTTATATAACTCTAAAGGATGAAAAAAATTATTGTGGAGTTTTTTAAATCAAACAATTGTTACCTTTATGAAAATTAAAAATGTTCAATAGTTTCTAAAAAAATTAAGTGTTTTATTCTATACATAAATATAAATACAACTTTGGATGAATGGGGCAAATTGAATACTTTAGGATTTAATTTATAACAGTGAACTTGTATTAATAAGCTTGTTTCTTTATGTAAACTATTTTTATGCTTATTTATTAATTAATAAGATTAAATAAGATAAAGGAAAGTTTGTATACCTGCTTTTTACATAAAAAATAAATTATAAAACCATTAAAATAAATAAAAGTAAGATCTTTATTAGTATTTTATAACAAAATTGTTCACAAATAGGCAAAGAAACACAAAATATACTCTATTTAGTTTACGCCCAAAGAAAAATATTTATTACCTCCCTCTTTCATTAATTCGATCACTAGGTATAAAGTTACTCTATTATCAAACCTAATTTATTTAAGCTGTAGTTAAAAATAAATAAGGTAATCAATTAACTATAGTTCATAAATTATTTGAATTGATACTTTACTCTTGTGTCATTTGATATACTGATAGTTGGAGATTGATATGTTTAAGAATGTACCCTTAAACCGTTTATAATATAAAAATTTTTAAGCTTTAACTCTATAAAATATTGTGGATAATTTGGTTATTAATTAAGATACAATAATATTTATTTAGATATTAAATAGTTAAGACTTTCTTTTGTGATATTTGAATAATTATGAAGTGTTTAGAAAATTTTTAGGATTATGTATACGATTTTTATTAGAACCCAAAGTTCTAAAAATTGAGAATTACACTACTTAACCTATTAATGACAATGCAGTTATCATTTTAATATAATTAAAATATAAACATTTTTCATTTAAAACTCACCATCAATCACCTTTATTAACTTTTCATAAATATATTTATTGAATTCTATTATATAAAATTATGGCATATTTTTAGCCAACATTTTTTCATTTCTCAGTACACATCACATTATTACATAGTAAATATGCTTCATATTTAATAAATAACTGGCAATATATAATATTAATAAATTTTACTTTGTATTCAATTAATTCTTTTTTTCATGTTTACAGGACTAATTAGTATACAATCATCAGATTTCGATTTATTTTATAAACGTAAATCGTTTTGTCAAAAAAACTTTTATCTCTTATGGTTTGTAGCAATTATCTTGTGTATTATAGTTAGTACATTGTTTTATTTCTATGCCGATAGAATTTATGAAAAAGGTAACTCCATGAAATGTTAATCTAAGCTAGGGCTTAAAATTGGAAAAAAAATAATAATTTAAAATTGAATATTTTAGGTAATTTTTCGAATAAATTTGTTGATATACAAAAAAATTCACAGTTGGTGAACGAAAAATCAAATTTAATCGAAAATCATAATCAAGATAATTCAAATTTTTTTCAAAAACAAATAAAGCGTTTTAAAAATCAATTCAATGAATTTCACGAACAAAAAATTGCAGTCACGGACGAATTAAATAAAGGTATAAAAGATATGAGCTTTGAAATTAAACGGCTCTACGATGGTCTAACATTATTGGGAAGACACGTAAGTCGAGAAAAACGATCTCTCAACCAAGGACAGGCAGCAATGGCTGAATGCGTTGAAATGAAAGAAAAATTCAATAAAATTTATAATGAATTAAATCAGATTTACAAAACATTAACAAAAATGGATGAAAATGGTATTTGTCGTTGCAAATGCCCTATAAATATATCACGAGCAGTTGATGAATCTTCTCAAGACACTGATATCATAACTGAAACCACAACAGTTGATGATCAAGATGAAACAGAAAACAATACAACTTTTGTAACTCAGAAAAAAAGGAAAAAAATTGTTAGTGTGTTTAACTATAATCCTTATAGTAATCCTGATAATTTTATTGACAATATTGAAAATCAAGTTGGAACAACTATGTTAGATGATATTACCGATGGTAAAACGACCAATGATTCTCCAACTATTACAACGAATGAAGAATCTGGAAAAAAAATTTCGACAGAAATTGGAGATGACTTGACATCAGCTAGTTCAATAAAGTTTACTCAAACAGCTAACACCAATGGATTTAGTAATATACATAATACAGATATAATAACATTTGATGATCTCGCCAATATTGGTGTGATTACGCCCGAAACACAAACAATCACTTCTGATCATTTAATGATAGACAACAATAGTCAAAAGAAAAGTATGATTATTCCAAGATCTAATGAAGCGGAAGTAACCGAATATACAATGGCTGATAAAAAAATTACTGAAACAACATTAAATACAGTTACTTCAAAAAATATTGTAATAAATAGTACTGAAAATAGTATGGTTACTAGTACTGAAAATAATATGGTAATTAGCACTGAAACTATTATAACAAACACAACCGTAAAAACGATAAAAGAACAAAAAAAAAATACCAACAATACAGAATTAAAACCAAATTGTGAGCAAGCATTAAACAACCAACCATTATGGACTCCCGTGTGTTTTTATCCAGTAGCATGTTATCCAAATATGTTAAATTGTCAACAGGAAAAAGAACAAAAAGATAGTATTAAATTTAATGCTCAGTCACTCAATACTCACAAGAAAAAATCTCCCAAAACAGATGCTACAATAATTCAAAATAGTTACCCAGTTATGTCTATTTGTCCACCTGGTATAGAATGCAGTGTACCAGCTTACTCTGGACAAGCTAATACTTTACACTGTATGCTTACTACGTCTACTAAAATAACTGGAAAGTATCATAATAATAACGCAAGAGATTCAGAATCGAATGAAAGAAATATACGTTCAAAAGATATCTCCATAACACCTAAAGCTATAAATGAACCGGAAGAATATAAAGAAATTTTAACTGGTAGTTATATTAAAACTTTGTATTTGTAGTAACTATATTATAATAAAAATATAAAGAATTTAATTTTTTTCGAAAGGAACTTTAGCATGTCCACCTAGTACATATTCTTGCTTGGATAATTCAGCATGCGTAGACAACGAAGATTGGTGTGATGGTAGAATACACTGCAACGATGCAAGTGACGAAACTCAATGTACTTGTAAACAAAGAATTGACAAGGATAAGTTATGCGATGGATATTATGATTGTCCAAAAGGGGAAGATGAATTAGGCTGTTTTGGTACAGAAAAAATATTAATTAAAAACTGAAATTTTTAAATATTCACATATTTGTTAATTGAATAGGCTGTAATAATGAATCATTTAGCTGTGGCGATTGGAATAATGCCTTACAACAATCGACATGTTTTGAAAAAGAAAAACGATGTGATGGTTTAAAACAATGTCCAAATAATTACGATGAAAACGAATGTAATTTACTATCAGGAAAAATTGAAGACTCAAATCAAGTACGTATAATAATAAATCATGAAATAATTAAATGGTACACTAAAAATAGTCATATATGTAATTATCTAGTATTATCATTTTAAAATGATAATTCATTTTCTGTTAAGAAATTATTTTTCTTATTATTAACTAAAATACATTACAAACAATAACATTTTGTTGTAATACAGTACATTGGTAAATTCATAGGGAGACGAGTGTCATAACATTATACTCGTGATACAATTTTTTCTAAATTTTATTTTATATGATAAATTAAACTATTCTTTAAACTAGTTTTAAATTTGAATATTAATAATTATAAGTTTAAATAGTAAGAACTATTTCAAGCAAAAAAAACTATTAAAAGCAATGAAAAAAACAATTATTAACTTATGAATGTTTATATTTTAAAAATAAATATGAACTCAAAATTTTTCATAGGTCTAACAAATAAAAAATTTTAGCTTTGATGTGAAACTAAAAAGTATTATTAATACTTATATTAAGTATATGAATATGTGATTTTTTTTTCATATCCATCCATAAAAATTTTCAACTATCCATGGACCGATTTTATTAGTTTATACATCAAAAGAACCAGATTTTAACCTTATTGAACATATCAACGCCAAAATTTTGAAAAAATCTTCTCAATTTTAGAAATTAAAAAAGAAATTTAATTGGACTACCGTAAAAAATGACATTTTCAAAGAAAAATATTTGCATTTTAAAACTGCTATACATTTTTTTTTTTAATATTAGCCTTAATAAAATTTTAAAAATTATACTAGAAACAATGAAATTTCTTTTAGTATGATTTTTATGAAAATCTAATGAAAAACTTAAGTACAGGAAGGATTTGAAAATATCCACTTATGCATATAAATTTTTTTTCAACTCAATTTCGTAAATGTTTTGATAACTTTTAATCTGTATGAACTTAAAACTCTTTAACAGTATAATATATAAATAAATTCATCTAGATTTTTTATATGATAAGATAAACAAAACAAATATCTGTTTGAAAGAAATTGTTAAGTATTCTTCTTGGTATCTATTTTTTTTTTTATACATATGCAATCTAACACAATTTTTATTTCATAATTATCATACGAATTGTTCTACTAGTAAGTAGAATAGTAATTCTATCAAATATTATTCTACTTATTATTATAAATATTTTTTAGAGGTTCTTTGTATCTTATTCTTCTGGATTATTACATCATAATTGGAAAGGTAAATGGTATCCTGTATGCAGTGGCGATAATTTAGATAAATTAGCAGATGAGGCTTGCAGTGTTGAATCTGGGAAAAAGCTTAAGTACTTTTTTATTTAACCACAACTCTTCACTATTACTAAAATGAACATTTTTCTATTCAGGCCTCATAAAATAGAATTTGTTACTGAACCAATTAGTTATACAGGACCTTATTTAAGTATATATAATAACAATATTGAATTCGAAGATTCGTGTCATTACCAAGGAGTTTTAGTTCAATGCGGTGCTGCAGACTGTGGTACGCGATCTAATTTCAAACTAAGCAAAAATTTGAATTTAGATAGATCAAGAAGAAATTCAGAAATAAGTGATTCCATGAAAAATTCTACACTTGATGATCAAATAGAATCTAATCGTTTTAGAGTAGTCGGGGGTATTTCAAGTAATCCAGGAGCTTGGCCATGGCTTATTGCCATGTATCAGGATGGTATTTTTCATTGTGGTGGTGTAATTCTCAATGAAAATTGGATTATATCAGCTGCTCATTGTGTACATCAGTAAGAATAATAAAATAATAGTGATAATATAAGAGTCGAAAAATTGATTAAATACATAAATCTAATGGTTTTCTAGTGAAAATAATAGCTGTTTTATTAAATTATTGAGAACATTTATATTACACAAAAATATTACAAAATTAGTTAATATTTCTTTAAAATGGTTTCTATAAAATTTGTATGAAACTTATATTTATATAATAAAATTAGCTTCACTGTTATTTTATTTTCATTTTCTTTAATTTTCTAAAACCTATTTCAAGAATTAAAGTATTTATTGAAAATATTGTAATTTTAACAGAAATACAATAACATAAAGAATTATTTTTTTTATCATAAGTAATACATGAAATACCTAATTAATTAAAAATAAAATAATATCAATAGTTTTATTTCAATTTTATATTAATTTTTATTGTGATATATTTTATATTTAGATATAAGAAACACTTTTATGAAGTACAAGCTGGAATTTTACGAAGATTTTCGTTTTCACCTATGGAACAATTAAGGGTAGTAACCCATATCATAGTACACGAAGCTTATAGTAAAACTACAATGAAAAATGATTTAGCATTATTGAAATTAGACCGAGGACTTGAATTTAATCGATGGGTTCGACCAGTTTGTTTACCAGACCGGAAACTAACTTGGATTCCATTCCCTGGTACATTTTGCACTGCTGTTGGTTGGGGAGCTCTTGTCGAACATGGACCCGATCGTAAGTATGAAAATAATAAAATAAATAAATAATAAACATTTATTTTAAAATCATTTAAAATCTTAGCGGACAATATGCGCGAAGTCGAAGTTCCAATATTATCTGAATGTAATCATAAGGAAGATCGTGAAGGCCAAGAAATTTGCGCGGGATACTTGGCCGGTGGTCACGATACATGTCAAGGAGACAGTGGAGGTCCTTTACTTTGTAAAGAACCTAATAATTTAAATAAATGGTACGTTGGTGGAATTGTTAGTCATGGAGAAGGATGTGCAAGACCTATGGAACCTGGAGTATACACTCGTGTTGCATTATTTATGGAATGGATTTTTGAAGCTACCGGTAAGCTTTAAAACAATGCATGATGTAAATATTAAAAATAAGAAAAAAAGTTTTTATTTTTATATCGAGTTGGCTTACAAAACAAGTACATTTCAATTTATAAAATTTTAGATGAAGCTAATTTGCCAATAGAACAACCACGTATGTCCTGTCCCGGAATGATTTGCAAAAGTGGAAAAAAATGTATTCCAAAGAAGAGACAATGTGATAAATATGTTGACTGTATGGATGCAGATGACGAGTTCAACTGTGATTATATAGGTTCAGAAATACAGGCAAATTTCTATAACTCACGCCACTCAGATCATACTAGTATAAGATTTAAAAGTGTAAACCGTCATAATGATGATCGATTTGCAATGAATGGTACATCAACACCAAATCCTAAATCAGAAACGCAAACTGAATTTACTAAAATATTAATAACTACTAAAAAAATAAAAGTGGACACAACAACCCCAAAAAATAAAATTACTTCAATTTCGTCAATTAAAACAAAAACAAACTCAAGTAAAGCAATAAAACAAGCAGCAAATTCCCGAACGGAAACTTTAGTAAAATATTTAAGTATATTTGATTTTATCATATTCAGTAACCAATCTTCTGAAGAACCATTTAGTTGTCGAAGGTAATTTTTTAAATTATACTATATGAAATTATTCGAAAAATTCCTACACGTCAATATGATATTTTTGGTGTATACGTTAATTTTACACATAATTAATGTAATTTTGACATAAAGTAGCAAAAATTTAAATATAGTTCAAACATACAAATATAACATTTATGTCACTAATTATAAACATTTTTCCTTACATTGTATGCCATAAAAACTTCCAATACATGTATGTAAAAATCCAGACTATTTTTTTAAAAATGTAATTAAATTGATATAATGTCTACATTGTCGTTAAATTTTTCACAATTCGTGTGTGAATTTAATCAAAAACACGAAGATTATGATTGTATTATATTTATTTTCAATAAAATATATTTCTTTATTGAATTTTTTAGATACTCCCAGATGATTCCTTTAAATCATCGCTGTGATGGAAAGTTGGACTGTGAAGATGGTTCTGACGAAGAATTCTGCAGTTGTAAAATGCGATTAACAGCAATGTTTAATTCATCGGCAATTTGTGACGGCGTAATGGACTGTTTTGATGGTAGTGATGAGCAAAATTGTGGTATAAAGTGTGAAGATGATGAAGTAATCTGTGGTTTGTCTAAACAATGTATTAAAAAAAACAAGTGGTGTGATGGAATTATAGATTGTAATGATAAAAGTGACGAAAAAGACTGCAGTAAGTACATCTAATGACAGTTATTAATTCGACTTTTTATACATATATTTAGTTTAGCAGTCGAATGATTTATTTTTATATATAGTTTAAATTCAATGATAATCATTTTTTAGTCTTCATTTTTGTTTTAAATACAACAAAATCGAATAGCTATCCAAAATAATTAGAGTATAAATACATTTAACAATAGAATATGAAAAATAAAATTTTATCGATTTAGTTTTTTATGTTGATTAAGAGTATATAAAAAGAAATTGTTGGCAAAGTATAGTTTAAATTTAACGAACTTTCAAAGTTTAATATTGTCATGCATCTATTATTTATCGATCTATTTTTTAATACATTTGTAAAAAGCATATAATTAAAACTACAATATTTTTCAGTGATACTCACAAATGGTACAATCCCTATAGAATTAGATGCATCAAAACGACCTGTACTAAAAAATTCAGGCATGGTCACTATCAATCGTCAAGGTGTTTGGACGATTATGTGTGTCGATGAAAGCGAATATGTCAAAATAGCACATGATGTTTGCTCAAATCTTAACTTTATGTAATCATTGTAAAAATATTTTAAGACATAAATATCATGGTATTAAACTCTATATTAATATATAGTTTCTTATTTTCAGAGGTTCGGAATTTTCAAAAGCAAAAATGATTTTGAACGAATCTAGGTAAATTATATAAAAAATTAAGCAATAAATAAATGAAATAATTCTTAGTCAAGTAGACACATAAGTTTGTTTAATGTCACTTATATCTTTATTTTTTATAAACACCTCAAAATGAATATTGTTATCTGGATATAATATTTAAACTTATACTTCACTTAACTGACTTATTCTCATTATTTTTTATAGAGATTTATTAAAAAAAAAGAAAAATGTAGAGGCTAACGATTTTTGTCCTGGTCTTTATGTCGAATGTGAAAAAAAAATAAATTTACTAAATGATGGATTATTATCTTGGCACGTTGACATTTTTAAAAATGGAAATATTATTCAACCAGGAATATTAATAAAAGATTCTTGGGTGCTAACAAAACAATCTTCTTTCAAGTACTTATATACATTCATTTAATATTCAATATTTTATAAGTTGTAGTTATAACTTATGAATTGATAAATATTTTAGTGTCGATGAAGATTACTTCACGGCTGTATTAGGAAATAATAAATACTCCAGTAAATGGATTAAGTCACCTTTTGAACAAATCACACAAATTGATGGTGTAGCAAGTATTCCTTCAACAGATTTATCTCTTTTACATTTAAGATATTCGGCTAATATAAGTAGAGCTGTTATACCCTTAGAAATACCAATGTGGCAACCATCTTTAGAATCTAATAATAATTGCTTTGCAATTGTTTACTTACAAAATAACCAAGTTGAAAATATTCTTCTACAGCCTATAACTGTTGGATGCGATGAAAATCACGCATGTTTCTCTGTTTCTCAAAGACCAAAATATTGTAAGGTACGTCAAAAATATAAATTATTTGTACAAAGCACATAACTTATAATAATTAAATATTTATACAATAATTACGTCTGTACACCAATGAAAATTATAAACTAGAATAATTTTCTTATCATTTAAATTTTATAATAGTCCAGAAGAAATGCATCTCATTTAACTGGAGTCGTTTGCAGTTCAAAACGTGGTTTGTTTTTGGCGGCCACTGTACCAAGCTCATATAATGAAACCTTGACTCTCTGTAACCCCGACTCCCGCATTGAACTACCTAAAGTTGATGACCTATTACCTGCTATAACAATAGCAATGGGTTAGTATTAAATCTATAGTCTAATGTTATTAAATTTAACATGATCATGTCAAAAAATAATTGCTTTTAAATTAATCTATAATATAAAATTTATATTTTTTACTCATCATAAAATAGACCAAAAAATTATACAAGAAACTATTCCCCAGTGCGATGGTAAACGTTGTCAACTGGGTAATTGTGTACCTTGGGAAAAAATTTGTAATGACCAATGGGATTGTCGGAATGGTCAAGACGAGTCTATTAAATTGTGCTACGAACGACAAAATAAATGTAAAACTAACGAAACCTTATGTAGTAAGTAAACACATACATCTCTCTTTCTTAATTATACAATGTTCTTAGTTGAAATTTTTCTCTTTAATTACTTACTAATTATTTTTTTTATTAAATTTCTACTTATAGTTGTATGTTCTTAACTATTCTATAAAATACAACCGTTAATGACTCAATAAGTAAAAATCTAGCATAGATTTGTAATGTAGACCCAAGTCTAAGGTTTTATAAAATTATAGGAGTGGCATCACTTAATCTTGCCTGCTCATAAAATTTACTGACATCAAATAATTAAAATATATTTAATTATTTATCAATTACTTTTAAGTATGCGGTGTGGGAGGTTTCAAATGTCATAACGGTAAATGTGTACCCAAAACAGCATTTTGTGATGGTGTTGATCAGTGTGGTGATGGCACCGACGAACCAACTACTTGTCAAATAAATACTTGTGTTGCCTATCTCAATTTAACTGCTCCTGAAAGACTCTGTGATGGCCGGTGGGATTGTGAAGATAAAAGTGACGAAGATTCTAGTATTTGCTCATCTTCATACTGTAGCAAACAAAACGTCTACCACTGTCAATCGTGAGTACCATAACAAAAAAAATATATATTACATATAATAGTATTGTTAGATAAAAACTATATGCATGGACGTAGCTGTAAAAATTCTTCTGTGACGCATTTAGTTCAATTTTCTATTCCATAAATTTGGATAAAAAGCCTATCGAAAAACTTCTCTACTACATTATTTTATCTCCTACTCTACCCCTGCAACAAAAAATTCATTTTATTTGTAAATTATGCTAATGTGTTTAATAGTTTTAGCTTCGATGCGAAGCTGAGAAGGTACTGGTTTTACTATAAAGTGTTTTTTTTTTTTTGTGTAAAAAGTATTAATTATACCATGATGTGCTTTTTTTTGTGTCTGTTACCACTTTTTTTCAGCTCTCACCAAACGGATTTCTTTCAACGATACGTCAAAAGATCACAAATCGTTCTAGTCGAAGACATTACCCTCAAAAATTGAAAAAATTTCCCTCGTTCCCAGTAAATGAGGAAACCTCCAAAAAAATTACAAATTTAAAAATCGCTAATTTTCGAAATTTTTTCAATTTTTTTTTACTAAAAACTGCCATAACTTTTTTAAAAATGAACATATTAACATAATTTTTTTTTTTCATAGATGCTTGATATCTTGACCTATCATTTGGTATATTTTTTTATAAATCTGACCCTTCACCAGCCCACAGGGGGGGAATTAAAATGACAACTTTTTCACAAAAAATTAATTTTTATACTTAACTTTTGAAAGTGTTCCGGAATGTCTGACACTTTTATATATATATCTTAAATTAAAGCTAATGTATTGAACTTTATTATGAAAAAAAAAAAATTTCGGACTTAATTTTGTCTTCGTGGTGAAAATAGCTACCGAATGCTGTTTTTGTGTGAATATTATCGATTTTATTTTTTACATTTTTAACTTTATTATAATGCTATAACTTATTGAAAAGTATATGGATCAACACAATTTTTTTATGAGAAATAATATTTATTAATAATCCCTTATTCATTCGACATACTTTATCTTAATCAGGATATTAATAAAGAAATAGCAGTTCATGTAGCTTTTGGAATAATCCACCAATTTTTTAAAATTCAACACTATCTAAAGTTTTGCATCGAAGCGGTTATTTTTTATAGTGATTTTAATCACTGTCAGATATCATTATACTTGATCCAACTATGCCATGTCATTACTGTGCCGCGACCCCCCTGTGCTGGATTTTTTTAAGTTGCTATACACAAAACTTTCTAAATAAGACAAAAAATGTAAAAATGAAAATAATAATAAATAAATCTAAAAATACTTAAATAATCCGACTACAGAAAATAATCTTTAAAAAATTTTTCACTTTTTAACTTTAATCATTTTTGCTATTGCAGATCATCCAAATGTATTTCAAATGAATTTGTATGTGATGGAGAAGAAGACTGTCCTGAATCCGACGATGAAGCAAAATGCATAGGACTACTCAAAACTTCTGGAAAAAAGTAAGATTAATATAATAAAAATATAATAGATCTTAAAAATCCGATTTAAGTGTTTAAATACACTCAAGGAAACTTATTTTTGTTACTTTTTACATAACAAAACAACGAAAATATTAATTCAGATAGTATGGTCACAAAATTGCGTGTTAGGTGTTAGTCTATGTCATCTCTTGATGTTGTAATACTTGTAATATAAGTAAATTATAAATGTGTACCACGGTATCAAAGAGCGCCTTTGCTGACCCTGATCAAAAACCGTTTTTAAGCTTATAGATAAATATATAAATTTATCACTCTTATTATAACTCACTAATTTTTACAGGAATGAGGGAACATTAGCAACGAGGTCATTTGGTGTTTGGCATCCTCAATGTATGACAGAAGATTATACCGATTTAGATTATAATTCACTGTGTGAAACGTTAGGGATGAAACAGGCCAAATGGATAAAGAATACAACCAGCTCAAAAATCGATTTTGATAACTTTACAAGCATTCAGTTGAACTCAAAAACTGAAGTTGTCATAAGGTCTTCGAACAAAAACTTTGTAAAGGAATCCAATGAATTATGTCCTACAGTTTATATTGCTTGTCTGAGTTAAACTTAAATACTAGTTATTGTTATTGTAAATAAATACTATAAGAGTAGGTTTTAAGACTGTCTAGCTACACAATATGTTTAGACCTTATTTATAAAAAATAAATGTTGCATCATTAATTATTTTATATAATGGTTAATTGTTATTTTAAATAAATAAATACAATACATACTAATATTCTTTAAAACCAAATTACTTAATTAATTATGACGTAATAGCCCCGACTACCCAATTGTTTATTTTACAACCATAAAACTCTTTTTTTTTTTTAATGCAATAAAATATAAAACCAAATTTTAAAAATTATTATAAAACTAAATGAAAAAGTTACTTGTTAAAATTAAACCTTTAGTATGATTACTAAACAAAAACCATCTTACCAGCGCCAAGCTACGGCCCTCGTAAAACATATCCGATATTTCGGACATCAGATATTAAACAATACAGCCAACATAAAACTTCTATATTTCTTACCACGAATTAGAGTTCCTGAAGATTTATGTAAACTTTTTCACAGACAATTAAATTTTTGTAATGATTAATGATTAATTATATCAACTAAAAGACTCAACAATTAGACTAAAACAAATATATAAAATTGTTTTAATACATTCAAATATTACAATTTCAATAATATTGAAAAAAGAATTACTTAAAGTCATTAGTTTATAATCAAACAAATAAACGTAATTTAACAATTAACGATCAACGTGCAAATTTAAACAATCTTTAGATGCGCTAGCTTATTTATTAATCTTAAAAGTGAGCGCCTGATAATTTTTTAATAACTGCTACAAAAACTTTTATTAATTTTTGGCTGGTTAAAATGTACAGTTAAACTTTTTTTCGTTAGTAAAATTCTAACTTCATGTATAATTTTGTTTTGAGGTTTCTAGCTCATCATCCACTCCCATAACTACGCCACTGTGTCGAATCACTAAATGCCAGCAAAAGATATTTTCCAAAATATCTTCGAGTTGTTCTGTAAACCAGGCGACGAAATGCGATCATGGCTTAAAAAGTAGCACATAGGGTTGTTTTAGCGGTATTTTTAAGATTAAGTTGAAAAGTTGTAGAATATATTTACATCAAGAAAAAAACTAATTAAAAAAATGTTTATGAGATCATCAAAGAATGATTCAATTATCAAAAACCACTTATTTTAACGAAAAATAAAAATATAGATGATTTTTTTTCATTTAAATACATGTTTTCTCAATTAATCAACCATAAAATATTATTTGTTTATCTATTACACGATTTTGTTTTTTATTTATATTTATCCATTATTGTATTTTATAATGGTATCAACTTTATATTTAAAATGACAACATACATAATTAAATACTAATTCAAATTGCACCTATGCACCAGATGATTAAAATATACCCTATACTTTAATTTTAAACCATGTTTATTATTTTATTATAATAATAATAGCAGGTTTTAGGATATTTTTAAACAAAAATGGAACGAGTTTCGTTTAGAAAGTAATTTTCCTAAAACTTATAATAACTATAAATCTACAATAGTTAATAAAGACGTAAAACAACACTAATTTAATTATTTGTAGATCAGTTGTTAGCAGTGGCGTAATTAGAGATTAGATTTGGTTAGGATATACATAAAAAAATTGTTCACAACCCCACCACCAAATGAAAAATAATTATATCTACACCATATAATTATTTCTGTTTTGATGAAACCTACCACCGCGGTAGGTGCACCGTTAATTAATCCTGATTAATGATGAAATTTGATGTTTAGGCCTTATAAATGGTTGAATTTTAATATGAGTACATTATGCACTTTTGGCACAGCCTATTCAAGTATGGAAAATAATAGTGTGTTCTTTAAAATTGAATTAATTCAATTAAAAAAAATAAAAATATTTACCAAGTCCATTCTACCTAAAACACATACTATCAAAAAATTTCTAGCATTCATTAAGCTTTTCTATTTGTTTTAAAACTATTTCTCAAAAACAGCCCATAAAAAGAAAATTATTAAATTTCAGAAACTCATTTATACTATCTAGAATTGAACAACAAATACGTATTTTATAGAAAAATGATTATCTTACACAAAAAAAAAAATGTATTTGTATAACATTATACAAATATAATAAATTAACACATATGAAATTGGTAATACCTTTAATTTAAATATAAATTAAAAGTTACGACTATTTTATATTTTAAAAAATTATAGTTTTTGTTTAAAAAAAATAATAATAAAATATATTACCATAAATGAATACTTAATAATATTTTACAATTAGAAGTCAATAATTACAATCAAATTAACAATGGAATTGAAATGAATAGTTATATTGTTGGCATAACTTATTATTCAGACATTTAAAATTAAAATCATCCAGTAAAATTATATTACAAATTACAGTTAATAAATAAATAGCAAATTTGAATCACGGGCTAAACATAATAATTAAAGACAAACATAAAATAAAAATGTACTATGAACACAACTAACAATCTATTTTTAAATTCAACAAATCATGTTTTTTTTTGTGAAAAATGGTTATTATTATTGTAAAACATTAACATATTTGAGATAAAAAAATTGAAAAAGTAAAGAATAGGAAAGAGTAGCATTATTCCATACGTTTAACAAGGTCATAATACTTCATAAATAAAACAGATATAAGTTATATTAATATTACTAAAAAATTATTATATATACATATACATTTATCATAGCTAAACATCTTATCAATAAAGTAAAAAATTATAGTACATTACTTAGTCATTATATTTGCCTTTTTAACGAAATTTTAAGTTTAAATATTACCCCGAAGTCCCAGGTAATCCCAAAAGTTCTGCTTGTTCTTTGTCACATTTAGTTAAATGTTTAATGATCATTTCTACAGATTTAATACCTCTGGTACCAGGCTAAAATAAATAAATAGTTGCATTATTATCTTAAAGTTTACAAAACATAAATAATGTTAAAAAAAAAAAACTTACAGCTGCTGTAAGTTTCATAAAGTTAAAATATTTGTCTAATACAGCCAACATTGCTGTAAATCGACCATCGGGTAATTGTTTGCTAACAAATTCTAAACAATTCTAAAATCATAAGATATTAAAAATAGTTAATTATTTTTCAATATATAAGTGTAACAATTTTACTTTGTCATCCATTGTTATGTAACCCAAAAGAATAGCAATATATGATGATATCATGGTATGTTGCATATTTTGTCCAGCTTTTTCAACAACTAAAATAGTAACACATTGCATAATTTATTTTGATAGTGTATTTTACTTTTCTTGTATGAAAAAAAAACTATGAACTAATGCAATAAATGTTTACTAAAATTATACTTACGTAATGCAATTGTTTCTTCAATATATTCCTTATGAGCTTTAAGTGGAGCATCTTTAGATGGTTTTTCAGTTTGCTTATTTTCGCCATCTAAAATTTCATCAGTCTTTTTTTCTTCAGTCTTGGCTAACTCTTCTTGTTGGAAGAACATTTTTACTAGAGCTTCAATAGCAAATGAATTTGATTTACCCACTAAATGATAAATAAGAAGTATTAATTCCAAAATTAAAAGTATTATTAAATCAGTTTTTAACTTACCTTCATGAACACTATCTCCTTTTGCAGGCACTTTAGCTTCAGTTATGAGTTTTCTATTTTGAATATTTTTTTCCACCAAGTTAATTAATAATGTTAAGGTCTATAAAATATTAAGAAAACTGAACATTAACATAATGGGCTCATATTCAATAAATATGTTTTAATATCTACCAAAAACATTATATCAAATTTTTCATCGTGAGGGACATATTCTGGTACTTTTAACAAAATATGTAAGCAAGTGTCTAATACTCCATCTTTTTGGCCAATTTTAGATCCTTTAGCTAAAAAATAATATTATTGAAAATAAATAAAACCTTTTACTAAAAAGAAAATCAAAAATTATAACAGTAAAAACTTTTATACGTACTTATTTGATTTGAGTCATGTGAAAAGTTAATAAGAACTTTTAAATTAGCAATTAAGCATTCTCTTAATACTGCTCCTGTTGAATCTTTATCATTTTCATCATAACTGGGATACAAGGGAATTTCATAATCACACACTTTAAACATTCTAATTAATGTATCAATTAAAATACCGTTTTCGAAATTTAGTAAATAGACATTATTTTCTTCATTTTGAATTGTTACCTGAAAATATAAAATATAATGTTAATGTTATAAATCTACAATTGTATAATATATATTAATTACATTTTCTAATATCCTCAAACATCGATCAACTTTTTTAATACGTTCAAGTAAAGATTGTGACCAAACATTAGTCATTGAATCTACATGTTTACAACACTGCACAACCGTCCGAACAATATGGTCAAGACCTCCTAGCTGTCTCATTTCTTCTTTAAACCACTCACCAGCTCGAGCGCTAGTTAAACTTAGTAATGTTTCCATAGCCAACTGACCAACAGTTATATTATCTGTATTTAAATATTTAGCAGCTCCTTGAGATTTTATTTCAGAACATAATTGAATGACACGTTCTCGTGTTTTATGTAATTGATGATCTGTCAAACCACAATCATCAAGTGCTTGATCATGACTTGTATCACTTTCCAATAAGTTCAACATGAGTTCAAGGCAATCACGATCTAGATCCATATTCAAGCGATCTTGACTCAAAACAAACATGACTGTAGCAGTGCACATTCCTAAACTCTACAAATTTTTTTTTTTTAATTAGTGATAAATAACCAGTTAAATACTCTACTTTAAGTATAAAAAATGTTAATTGCTGAATCTTATATTTTAACTTTTTTACTATAAATACACTGTTAATAACAATTTTTAAGGTTACCTGATCTTTTGTAGCATCTTGTAATGCTCGAAATATTTTTGCAACTGTTCCATGAGCTTTAACGTGCATTCTAAACGCTGGTGTCATACACTTGGTTGCTAATGTAATAGCTGATAAACATCTTTAAGAAAAAAAGAAATCAAATATTACAATTACTATAATTATAATAAAATTTATTAATTTTATGGATAGTTAAATTTACCTAGTTCCTATAGGGTTGTTTGGTTGTAATGCATCAAGGATATATTCAACATCATCATTAAATTCTTGAAACTCACCAGATTCTTGAATTTGATGGGCTTTTTTAACATTGCGAACGACAGTATAAAACTAAAAGAGTTAAATTAAACTCTATAACACATTATAATTTCTATAAATATTTATATATTTGTGACTCCTGTTTAAAAAACTAATTGGTTTTAATTCTTTTATTAGAATTTTGTATAAGTAAAGTCCTGATAATTCATAATAGATTAAATTTAAAAATGAAAAATTTTTTACAAAATATTGTTACCAAAAATCTTTTATAAATCATCTTAAATTTTGAAATGTGCCTCAGAATTAATTTTATATTCATCTGTAATAAATGATATCATTGAAAATATAAAGTCAATCACTATATTATTAATTTGGTATACTCAAAATACTTCTCTTAATATTTAAAAAAAAATTTATTTTTCTTATTATGAAATTTTTACAAAACTGTTAATTTCTCAAAAAATAATTATTACACAATCTAAATGGTATCACACTGTAGTTGCTCTCTGTCTACATTTACAAAATTTAATTTACAAGTTTAAGTTTGAGATATCATCATCATTATCTTTGCCCAGACTTCCCTTACCATATTTTTACTACATAGATCAAACAACAAAAAACTCTAACATAATATAAAATTTACTTTTATAGCTTAAATTTGTTATTCTAATTAAAATAATTAAACTTTAAGTTTTACTAAAAAATTAGAAGAAGATTAATATAAAATCAAAAAATTTAATTGTCCCACAATGATAATTTAACAAATTCATTTATATAAGAATTAATATAATTACTTTTTTTTCCTTCCGTTTACATTTAACACTAGTTACTGAATTAAATTCATCATCATCAAATACATCTGTGGCTTTTGTAACTCGTTGTAATGGTTTCTGTTCGAAATTATCACTTGAATTAGGATTAGTTGTTGATTCTTCTTTTTTTTCTTCATCAACTTTTTTATCTTTATCAACCCAAGAATGTTTATAAAGAAACATACCTTTTTTATTTCTTTCATTTCTAGACTTGAATATTGATTTTTTGGTTGTAGGTACAACTGTTTCATGCTGTTCAACTTCCATTTTTTCTGTTGTTTCATCATCATCTAATTTAATTGGTTCAGTTTCTACAAACACTCCTTTTAATTTTGGTGGGACGTTTGGTAAGACTTCAGTTACTTTTTTATCTTTATTATTATCTATTGATGGTAGTTCTATGTCAGTTTTGAAATGTTCTTCAATTTGTTTGAGTATATCATCATTTTCATCTATTTTATCTAGTTCTGGTTCCTCTGGAACTTCAATTCTAGGGCTAGGCAATGAGTCATCACTACCTTCTAAAACAGCTAATAGTTTATTACGATCATTTTCCAGTTGTTCAAGCTTTGATTTTTCATCAATTAATACTTTAATATCTTCTTTTTCAATATCATCATTTACATTAGGTTGATTTAATGTATTTTGATTTACAATTGTATGTTTTGAAATATTTATTTTAAGAACAGGAACAATATTTTTAAGCCTGTCTTGTTTTCTCTTTTTAGGAATATCAACAACAACTGCTGGAGACTCTTCTACATCCTCTGTTTCAGGTTCGGTATATGTGGTTTGTGGATTTCGCCTTCGAAGACTCCTAGTTGTTATTGTTGGAGTGGCTTGATTACTTTCAGGTACTTCAATATCTTGTAAAGGTTTTGAAGTATTATTAGGTTCATTAATTAATTGAGATTTACCTTTAAATATACGAAGAACGATGGGTGGTTTACTTGGATCTTTAGTAGGAGTTAAAGTAGTAAATGATAATTCATTTACTTCAGGTATCCTATCTTCTTTCTCGGGAGAAGATTCTGGAGTTTTAAGAACAACATTTTTAGTTTTTTTAGAAGGTTGAGATGTATATTTTTTATCTGGTCTATTAGAATCTGTATTACGGCTTTTAAAAAACTTTTTAGGCCTTACTATAGGTATAGTTGGTTCAGGTGCACTAACTTTAGGAGCTGGACTAGCTTCTTGGTGTTGTCTCTTTTTCCCAACACTGAATCGCGATCCAGAAGATTCTTCAGATTTCCCTATTAACGTTTAACTATTAGTACTGTGACTTAATTTCATTATATTAATTGTAAAACTAATTAACAATAACATAATAAAGTAATTTACCTGTTACAAAATTTGTACTTCTTATTGAAGTGAAAGATGTAACACCCCATTTTCCAACTGTACCAGCCGATTTAGCAGCTGTTGGCTTGTTAGTATTTTCACACAATAATTTATCAAAGTTAATGGCTGTTTGTACTACACTATTGGGATTGTTAGAATACTTAGCTCGACCATAAGACTTCATATAAGATCTGGGACCTTTAGCAGTACTCTGAAATAGTATAAAAATAATCAAAACTTCATAGTAAAACTAATAAATATATTTCTAAGAATAAAAACCAATAGGACATTAATACTACAAAATGTCAAAAAATTTTAGTAATATAACTAGGATAGAATATTAATCGAACCTGCATGTTAGAACTTATTTAGCGTATCAACAATTGTATGTACAATATACATATGATAACTAAGCAATTCAATTTTATTTCAATAATTAATGATGTATAAAAAACAATACACCATTTTTGAGTTGAATTGTTGCATACTTCAAAAATACTTATATGATCGAGTTCATCATTCCAGAAGCTACTTAAATAAACACAAAACGTTAAAAGAGTTAAGTTCACAATTCAATTTTTATTACATGATATTAAAAAATATCACTAGTTGTAAACAAAACACACTCACACTTAAACACAATGTACAATACATTTACACATATAGCAGTATCTTCAACTAAAAATCACTTAAAGCGCATGCGTGTAACGGCTATACGTCGATAGTAGTATCGATTAATTGGGTATTCCATGAAATCGGAATAGCTTTCCATGACATTATATTTTAATAATAAATGATTAAATAAATGTTATGAGATGGTGATTTTCACCTCTTGAGGTATTATATTGAAAAAACCTAGGTTACAGCATAAAATAAATATTTAAATTTTTTTAATTAATTTTCTTAATATAATTGAATATTAGTGTTGAATATATTCTTAAAAGAGTTATTTATAGTATTATCCTATGTCATGAAGAAAGTAAGTTTTTCTAGAAAAAATGTGGTGACAACAAGTCACTTATTCAAGAAATCTAGACTTCATGAATACCCCTCCTCAAAAAATTAAAAATTATATTTTTGAACTTTTGAGTATAGTATATTTATACACTGTAATAACGAGGTTAATCGTGATCCCAAAAATAAATAAATAAAATCTCTACTGTGTATCTAGTTCAGTAGCGCAACTAGGATTATTTTGAGGGGGGTGTCTGCCTCATTAAAATACCTTACCCCGTAACATATTTCAAAATACGTCTCTGGTATCGAGTTTTTGATAAACTAAAAATGCATAATATCACAGATATAAATCTTAAAAAATATATATATATTTTCAAATGTTTGTTTCAGAGCTTAAAAATATTATGTTTTGTTACATATTTATAAATAATTATAAATATAACTACTTTAATAAAAATTACAATCAATTTTTAAAAACATTTTATATTACAAAATCTAATCGTCTTTTTTTCTCACTTAACTGTTTAATAATTTCATCTGTAGTAACTGTAATTTCGCGGTGAATATTCAAAGCTGCTAATCCATTAAGTCTAAATGCTGATATAGAGTTTCTGAGATAAGTTTTAACTCTTTTTAGAGTTGAAAATGACCTTTCAGCTTCACATGAAGTTACAGGTAACGTTAAAAGAATTTTCAACAATTTATACACGTTGGGATATAGATCAATATTGCAATTACTAATTACTTCAATAGCAGTAACCATTTTTAAATTGGTTTCGACACGTAATTTAAAAACTTGATGATGCCAAATTTTTACTTCAGCTAAAACATTTGATGAATTTTCTACATCGTTAGCATAAAATTCCGCCAAATTTTTTATTAATTTTTCTTGTTGTTCAGTAAGAGGTGCAATCGGGAAAAGCAATTGAAAACCTTGAATAATTTCATTATGATTAATAAATCTGTCATTTAACTGACTAATAAATGTATCTAAAAAAGGTATAAATAAAAAAACTTTAAAATAATCTTGAACTGTATTATTGGGAGTATTCTGACTATAAGTGTGTCTTTTTGTAATTCTTGGAATTTTTATCTCAAAATCTAAATCATTTGATTTACTTTGAAGTTCTTCAAAACATTCTAAGAACTCTTCATCGACATTATTCCTAATTGAATTTATTTGAAGTATCACATTGTTGACATATTCTAGAGCTTGAATAAGATCTATGTCAGGTTTTTGTAAGTATTTGCATAAAGATACAGTATACCGAAATATTTTTTTTAAAACAATAAGACTTACATTAAATTCACAATTTTTTAAAGCTAATAATAATATATGAGCTTTAGTAGATGTTTCGTTGTCTGCCCAACTAGTCATTTCTTCTAAACACGAATGGACAGCAGGAAGAAGTTGATCAAACACTTCTACTGAGTCATGCCTTTCAACCCATCTTGTCATACATAATCGTTTTAGTTTTTCTTTATGAGTATTTTCTTGATTCAGTTCTTTGACATGTTTTGAAAATGCAGCTTGTCTTTTTGGAGTATTTAAAAATACGAAAACTTTTTCGATTGTACCCATAGTATTTCGAATGGATTGTACACCGCAAGCATAAGTTATAGCTAAATTTAAACTGTGCGCACTGCAATGAACATATATAGCAGTTTTATATTCTTTTTTTATGCATGATTGTACACCATTGAATCTCCCACTCATCGATGCAGCTCCATCATAACCCTGTCCTCTGATGTACTGCATTTCAATTTTCATGTCAGTAAGTTCTTTAATAATTATACTTGCAAGTGCGCTTCCACTTAAGTCCATAACAGGTACAAATTTTAAAAATTGTTCTTTTATTATTTTACTTTTAGAATCAAAATAACGAACACATAACGAAAATTGTTCAATGCCAGCCACGTCTGCCGTTTCGTCAGCTATTACCGAAAAACATTTACTATTATTGATTTCATCAATGATTTTAAATAAAATAATATCATGACAAGAACTGATAATTTCGTTTTGAATCTTCCAACTTGTATACTGCGCGTTTTTTGCACAATTTGTTCTTGCCAATTCGTAAGATTCATCACCAGACAACTTTGTCGCATTCATATGAAATCGCATTAAAGCTCTAAAGTTACCGTCATTTTCTATTGGGTTTTCCGTCGTTAGCATTCCAAAATCCCGATGTCCGCGTAAGGCAATTCCCTGTCTTCCGCAAAAAACCACAGATTCGATTACTGGAATAATTATTTTTCTATTCAATTCTTTCTGCATTTTAGAAGCTTTATTTAATTGTAAATCTATTGAATCTTGTTTTCCAGCTTCAATAGCAACAATGTTCTGATACTCTTCAACTGCTTTGAGGTGATAATTACACTTTTCGTGAATATTAAATTTTTCTATTGCTTTATACCAAATTTTAAAAGGCTTAAGACTAAAATTACCCAAAACCTGAGAACCTCCTTCCGTTTTATTAAATATAACACAATACTTGCAATACGCGCCGTCTTCTTTATGTGAATACGCCAACCAAATCCATTTCTCCAACCAACTAAATTGAAACTTCAATTTTTTTTTGTTTTTAAATTCTGTTGTTGGGAAAATAAATGTTTTTTCTGGGGTCCATGTGTTTTGAAAAAAATCTATTTTTTCTTTATTTGATAACTTTTTACCAACACATAATTCAATATCAAATAAACTAACCTGCAGATTATCGTGCTGACAATGTACATTTTCTATTTGTTGGCTTAAATCATCTTCCGGACAAAATTTCGCATTATTTGTATTTAATTCCTGCCGCGGTACTTTTTTGGCAAAAAAGTCAGTTATACTTTTATTAACACGTTTACTCATTTTACGAAACAGTATATTATATTGTAAGATTAGAAATACAAAACCTAATCACGTTTATATAATATCTTATATCGCACATGCACACAAATACGTAGATAACTCAAAGAACCGACACTGAGAATAAATATCGGACAACTGATGTTATTAATTTATCAATATTATTAGACTTAATATAAACTAATAATAACTTAGATGGCCACGTGGTCGGTTTTCGTATTACAAATTTACATCAATATCTAATTGCCTATCATAAAAGATAAGAACCTGAATAATGTAAATTATTTCTAAATATAATAAAAATAAAAATAGTTTACATCAAGATTCAAATAATATTCTTATTTTAACCAAGATAAATATTTCTGAATTTATACATAAATTATTATGGACTTTCATAATAATATTTTAAACCATTTGTTCTGATAAATCGTCTGCATTATGAAGACTGCAATATTATGATTTTTATGTTATAAATTTAATATAAATAGATCACTTTTCAATAGTTATTAAATAAAAAATACGGTCCAAGGGGGGTGTCCAGACACCCAAAACACCCCCCCTGGTTGCGCCACTGATCTAGTTATCACTAACCAATCTGAATATATTTTCACTAAAATGTTATGAAGTATTCCTAACTTTTAATGTTTTGTAAAGAACTACAGCAAATTTAACAATTTTTTTTGTTATTCAAGTAACAAATGTCTCAAAATTGAACTTTGTAGACTCTTAATAGCTTGCTGAACCTATTGTAAACTAACATTTGGTGAGGCCTAGATGTCGGGGAAGAACTATGATGCCCATGAATGTAAAGTACCTACCTGTTTTAATATTTAGAATTTCAATTCATTGAAAACGATGGAGATTTTTTTTAGTTCAGCAATTTATTAATTAGCAAATAAGTCTATTAATGGGGCTCTTCTGGAACTAACGCCCCTATGAATACATGTTTTTAAAACAAATAAAGTTTAGTTATAGTCCTGACGAGATAAGAGACAGAATGTTCGAATCCCCTTGGACTTTCCAGAGAACGCTTGAATCCGTATCAGAGTTACCCATTCGCGATCCTAGTGCAAAGCTGGATAAAGACCTATGTGGGTTCTCGAAAAATATCGTAACCATGAAAAGTGATTAACATAATAAAATAAAAACTAGAAAAACTCTGTCACTAATTATCACTAGGCTAGTAAAATTCGAGATAGACCCCCTAAGTTCGTGAGCCTCAGATCGTTCTATTTTTTTAATCTGGGCCTATCCTGGTGGGATTGGAAAAAAGTGTTCGAAATTTCTCTCGGAACCCTCTGAGAACAATATTAAAGTCCTTAGCAAATTTTGACTGGTGGCATTTATTCTTCATTATTAATTGTAGTATTTACTTATTAACTTGGAGATACTTATCATATTTGGTTTCTGTTATTTTAAATATGTACATTTTAATAACTATAGACAACGGTATATCTATAAGCAATTTTCGACAATAATAGTATTAGAAATAAAATATGAACTTATTGCTTATGTTGTTTTTTTTATATGCAATATTTTATAAATTTTATTAAGTATGACCTACAGAAAAAGAATTTTGAAAGAAAATAGACTTAGATGTTATGAGCCCTCATAAGTTGGTTATGTTATGAACAGAGAGAAATCTATAAAAAGTTAATGAAATTAATGTTGAAGGAAGAAGAGGTAGAGGAAGACTAAAAAAGAGATGGAGGGATGTTATTGAATATGACGCGGGAGATTGTGTTAAGTGGAAGTTAAGGATAAGAGTGGCTGACCTTAAGTAGTTGGTGTAAAGACGAGGAAAAATAAGGAGAAATACAGGGATATTATACAATTCTTACTTCATTAAGAAGTAAGTAGGTCATACTTCATTTAAGTATAACCTACAATAATAGATTATTTTATTATTTAATAAAAGTTTAAATTACAGAAATTTTATGTTTTAGTTAACAGTACATATTTTTATTTATTTTTTGTATTGATAAATACAAAAAAAAATTACATTTATATAGATGGTCATGTAGAGTAAAACCAATTAAATTCAAACAATATTAAACTGAGATTAATCCAAAAATTTGAATGTGAAATCAATTCATAGGAAGTATAGTTGATTCAACATTAAAAGGATATTTACTTTTCAGGAAAAGTTACAAAGAGTAACAAAAGTTTTTTAACAAAGGGTAGCAAAAATATAATAATAAGATCAATATTTTATTTTACAATCACTTTAATTATTGAAAATTAATTATTTTGAGCTAAATAGAATAAAAAAAAAATTATAAATTAAGTATAATTTTAAATAAATTAGTATACTAATTAATTCACAAAATAAAATAATTTATAAATTATAAAATTATTGTATTATTTGTTAGACTAGATTTGTACACTTGTAATAGTTTATACCCAGCGGATTCTTCAGGTTCATTTTGTAAGATATCTATAGCTTTTAAAAGTACAACCTTAGCTTCATCTATCATTCCTTCACTTTCAGATTTATTTTTTATTATTCTTGATGAGAATTCAATTAATACCAAATGAAGTTCAAATAGCACAACTGCAGTATATATATTTAATCGTACATATAATGGATCAATAATGTTTAAAACACTAAACATTTCTCGGCATAACTCTATAAATAACAATATTTGTAAGGACACGGATGTAATAAATTTTATCCAGAAGTAGTTAGAAAAAATGACAGAATTAAAGTCGTAAAATTTATTTTTGAGGAAAAAGTTTTGAATTCAGTAAGTGCCTATACACCACATGTAGAATATGATGAAATAGACAAATAAGTGTTTTGGAGAGATGATGCAGGGAATATGGGTGGAGATATGAATGGATATGTCGATAATAAGAGGAGATGATATAACAAAAGTACATGGAGAATATGGTTTTAGTAGGGAGAATAAAGCTAGAGAAAAAATCCTGAATTTCGCAGTATCGTGTGATTTTGTTGTTGTTAAAATTTATGTTAGAAAGAGGGAAAAACATTATACAACTTATAAGAGTAGGAGTAATAGATCACAGATTGATTATTTTATGTAAAAGGGAGAGAATGTAAAACGAGTAAAAGATTATAAAGTTATCCCAGGCGAGAGTGTAATTACACAACATAGTAATGAAGTTGGATGTAGTGGAAAGAGAGTATAAAAAAAAAAAATAACACAGGAGGCGATTCGCGTTTCCGGTAGTAAAAGTTGAAAGAAGAAAAAGAGTTTTTTAAAGACGGTAAAAGAGAGGATGGTTTGGAATGTTGAGGGAGAAATAAATGATGTGTGGAATAGATTTGCTAGTTTTTTAAAGAGTTCTTCAAAGGAGAATATTGATGAGAGTAAGAGTAGAATGTCAGGAAACCTGGTGGTGGGATGAGGACGTTCAAAAAATCATAGAAAGTAAGAAAAAGCAATTCAAAGTATGATAGAAGAGCAAAAGGAGAGAAGACTGAATGGAGTATAAACGCTCGTGCAAAGAAACCAAATGTGCAGTAAGTAAGGCGAAGTTTAAGAGGTATGATGAGTTTTATAATTAACTAGAAACAAAGGAAGGTGAAAAAGAAGTCTATATACTTGCAAAAGTAAGAGAAAAACAGTCTAAAGATTATTACAATTTAAAGTGTGTAAAAAGTAATGATAAGAAGGTGCTTATGAGCAATGAACATGTGAAAAATTGTGGAAAGAGTATTTTGAAATAATACTGAATGGGAAGTATCCAAGAGAGACATAAGAGAACATTTCGTGGAATGAGGGACTGTTAGATTTAATTAGTTAGAAAGAGGTATGAAAGGCTGTGGCATCAATGAAAAAGAGGACCCGTAGGACCAGATGAAGTGCCAGTAGAAGTATGGAAAATAATAGGTGGTGTTGGCATAAGGTGATCGAAGGATCTTTTTAATAAAATTCTTTTAGAAGGAAATATACCAAAATAATGGAGGAATAGTATTGTGGTGCCGATATATAAATGAAATTGATATATTCTGTTATACATAGTGTGGAAATTATAGAGACATAAATCTTATGAGTCATAGTATGAAGATTTGGAAAAAGGTAATAGAAATAAGAAGAAAAACGCCAATAATAAAGAACCAGTGTTGGGGAAGTTCCTTTTTAAATGGAATTCGTTCCGTTCCCCGTTCATTTTCTAAAATATGAACTCGTTCCAGATCCTAATTCTTTATATTAAGAAGGAACTTGTTCCAGATCCAGTTCCTCCAAAATAAGAACTCGTTCCACTCTTCGTTCCTTTTATAAGTTATTTAAAAAATTGTGGCAATGAGATCATGATAACGGTCATCAATGATTTTCATCAGCAGTCGAATACAAAACAAATTTGTAGTATTCCTTATCTAAAAGTATTCGAAAATTATATTTATAAGCAGGTAGTAAATGCTAACGACTTGTGTCAACGCGACCAATGTCTATTGTCTACATATAAGTTAGAAATAATAAATCAGAAAACCCAAAACCTTTAACATAAATTAGTTAACAAGAAACGACGATAATATTCGGTGCATTATTTAATATATGTACACATATATTAAATATTTACTGTATACCTACATGTGATAATAACTCTATCTATAATCAATTGATTCATTTAAACAGCCTACGATCTCGGCTGGGTATATAGGGGACTTCCATTGTCAAAAGTCAACTAAAAATACCATAATATTTTAATGTCTAGATACGAAGAAAACTACACTAAAACATGTTTATAAAAATTTTTAGGAACTGTAATTTCCGTTCACGTTCCTTAAAAAATGGAATTTGTTCATTTTCCTCGTTCCTTTATTTTAAAAGGAAGCAGTTCCTAGCATCGTTCCTTCAAAAAGAACTCGTTCCAGGAATCCGTTCCTTTTGGAACTAGTTCCTTCTCAACACTGTAAAGAACTAGACTGGTTTTTTTGCTTGGGAAGTCAACGACGGGGTCAGTTTTTTGTGTAAGACAAACAACTAAAAAAGTATAAGAAAAAAAGAAAAAGCTGTATGTAATATTTATTGATTTGAAGAATGCTCATGATAGAGTAACGAGAGAGGTTTTAAGTGGGTATTAAGGAGAATAGGAGTCCTAAAATGGTACATTAATATTTATATAAATACAAAGAGAGACATTGTGGTGCATATTGTTCGCTGACGATATAATGTTAATAGGAGGAAATTAATCAAAGGCTAGAAGTGTTGAGATCAGATCTTGAAGGAAAGAAATTAAGAATAAGAAGGAGTAAGACAGAGTATGTAGATTACGAGTTTGATAAAGGAGAACACGAGATAGGTGAAATGAGGAGTTTAGAATAAGGGCGGCCGACTCCAAGTAGTTGGTGTAAAGTCGAGGAAACAGAAGGAAAATACATGGATATTATATAATTAAAAAAAATACACACTTAATTTTCGTTCCAGAAGTTCTTGAGTAAGGTCTGGGTGTTTATAACCAGGTAAATGCCCATACATCTGAATTAAGGTATGTTTTACATTAAAACACATATAATGATTTGTGTGAACAACTTTTGATAATTTTTCCAACATAATTTCTAATGAATTGATACTTGGGTTCTAAAGTTTTTTATATATATTATGTTAATTATAACATCTATGTAAATTTAATTACATAAATTATATGTTGTTATACTTCAATTACACGAATTATAATACTCAACATTTTTCATAGAATAATAAAAAATTATAAGTCGAACTATATCTTAGTTGTTATAATATTACTTGAAGAACTTTCTCGACAGCTGGACTTAAACTTGCAATAATACCATCAATTGTAATTGATGATACAGTTGTTGGACATTTATCACATTCCCATTCACTAGATTCATATAAAGGATTCACAGGAGTTAAATTACCTTTACAAAACTGTTTAGCCTGTATAGAAATGAGTGAAAGTTTTTATTTACTATTAATATTCTAGTAGCAAGCTTAAAATTAAAAGTTATTTGACAAAAAAAAATAATAATAAAGGTAATTAAAAACTCACATTGCATATAACTGTACTGAAGTGGGTTCCAAGTTCTGTACGACTAGAGCATCTTTTACAACTACAATTAAAATATTTGGTTGACATGAGATGGTCTCTTCTTTCACGAGTACCCCACAAAGCATTAGTATACATAGTGCTTAAATGTTCACCCCTATAAATAAAATAGTTTTTTATTATACTTTGTATTTTTCAGCTTTCAATTTAATAACTTTTCTATTTTTCTAGCAGCATAAATACAAGCACAACCATGCTTATCATATGACAATCTGATATTTGGTAAACAGTTATGTTCAAGCATACTAATAGTAGGATATATAGCTGATACATAGATTCCAAAAAGTTGAACATCCAAAGCATTAACATCCAAAATTCCACAGATTTTATGAATAGTTTCTTCAGATGTATCAAAATCAAATGTCCTCAAATATGTCTGTTTTAAGAAATTACAAATAGAATTTATTTCCCTAAAAATACCAACGAGCTTATTAACTTCAAAAAAATTGAAACTTAAATAGATGGAAGTTCAAATGCTCACGTGTAAACTTCAGACTTGGGGCCTCTGTGCTCTAAATGTGACTGTAGTTCAATTAGACGATTCCAATTGTTTTTATTAACTATTTGTAACAATATGCATCTTAGGGGAGTTAAAATTTCATAACGGTACTTATTTGATTTAGCGATTAAATCAGCTGCTTTTGCTAAAATATTGCATTCATCTTGGTGTGAAAACAAAAAATTCAAAGGATCACATTTAGTAGAACATATTGGCCATAAACATAGTTCACACAAGGACTCAACTGCAGAATTTGATCTACTTAAGTTTTTTAAACACTTAATACATACAGGATCTGTTTTAGGAAATAAAGGGCCCATAACTAATGCATCATCACATAGTATTAACTCCTTTTCATTAATATTGCGTTTTGTCATTAAAAAGCGACCTAATTGAGAATCAACTGAGATCTATATAAAATTATAATTATTAGACAATTAAAAGAGAAAACGTTAATTAAATACCTCATAACATTTACACTCATTTTTATGAATTTTCCAATGAGCTTTTTGATGTGCCTTAGAACAGTATGAAACTAATGAACATGCTGCACATTTACTATGAGCAGATATACCACAAACTACACAATTAAATAGACTTTGTTTTGTACTATTATTTTTTTGAGACATTCTTAGTTATTTGTCATTCAACTTAAGACTACACTGAATGACACTTAATAATTAGTGAACACTCCAGTGTCAATGTACTAAAAATCATGGCTATTTTAGGTGTTCTATTAATAAACACAACAATTGGTTCTCAAACTATTTTATCAAACATTTTTTTTTTCAAAGACCATTTAATATTATACATTAACACTAAATTATACAAATTATAAACAAAATTATTATATAACATTGTAATTAATCTTCATGCTCATGTTGAGCCTCTGCTTCACGCCATATATTTTTGATATCCTCTACAAATCGTCTCCAAAAATTCATAGTTTGCATATATGCAATAATCCAGAATATGATAACAAACCATGCAAGCCATAAAGAATAATCATTATCTCGATTTCCAAAACCAGGGACTGGTTTGACAAAGTCAGTTACTGTAATTTCTACTTTTTCATTAGGTGTGAGATCTAAAAAAGGTATACATAAATATTTTGTTAATGTTGACAACATTATTATTATATAATTATGGTAACATTAAACATATTATTTTAATGGAACTAAATATTTAATTTTTTACTTAGAATTAATAATTCATTGTTATTAGTTTGACTAGTAGATAATTTATTTTATTTTATTAAATATTTAGCATTAGAGGCATATTTGAACATTTAAAAATCTTATATCCAAAATTTTACTTTTAGGTCTCCTATTTGTAATTTTATGAAAAGGAAAATAAAAAATAAAAATTTACAGTTATTATGTCACAAAAACTAATATTTTATGTGAAAATTATTGGTAGAAACATATACAGAGTGATTCTATAACAATATTTTCAAAAAAAATTAGTATTTATCTATGAAAGTTTTATCATTTTTTTTATTTATAAGATATTCAAAAAAAAAAATTAATTCTAATACCCTGCATCTTTTTAAAATTATATCAAATTGAGTTTTTTATTGATAAGATTTATAATATTTGATAATATGTATAATACTTAGGGTTTAAGGGTCCTGTTTAAATTATGATAAAAATAATCTAAAATTTTTATAGTGCTAATTAAAGCTCAAAAGGAACAGAACCTTTCGAATGTAATTCATTAAAATATACATTTTGTAATACCTGTGTGTCTAATAACAAATTTGGTAAACTCATAAAGTGAATAATCTGATCCATTATATTTTGCTATAGGACGTCCATTGTGAAATAGAACCAAAGATGGAACTCCTGTAATACCATACATTGTGTTGAACCTTTAAAATTAAAATAAATGTATGAAAATAATTTAGAATTTACACAACAAAATAATTTCTAAAAAATGATTACAATTTTTCATTATTTATTAACAACTAGAATCTGAATTTAAATGCAATTATAAATTTTGTTTTAGCTATTTTAAAGAGTGCAATAAACTTTGTTATTGGAATATACAATAACATAAAAATGTTTTTCGTTTTAGGGGGAATAAACCTCCTAAATCCCTTACAGTATAGCTCCAGTTCGATCACTGGTCTGTTAATACAAATGTGGTTAATTATGTGTTAGGAATAACTTAATAAAACTAATAAATGCATATAAATCCAGTCTTTATTAATAACTATTCTTTTGAACTTTAAAAATCAAATAATTATTTAAAAATACTAATTTATATCAAAAATACTAAACTAAAAGCCATACAATTAATTAATAATTAATACATAATTAAGAAAAATATATATATTTCATATTTTATTATATTATATATTATTCAACATAGTTTATTTAGCCTTAAAATGTTAAATAAGTTATCATAAAATTAGAGAATATATCACCATACAAAAATAATTAAGTGGTATCAAATATCAAAACTTTTAAATTATTTAATCCTTTCTAAATGATCTTGATGTTTGACTTTTGGAAAAAAAAAATTTTTGATAGACTCATATTGTTAATTTTCATCAAACACAAAGAACATATTTAGGATTACTTTTAAGAAAGGGTAAATATGAAAAACATAAATTCTCGAAAGAGGCTGAAATTGTCCTTCATTAATGCACCTATGTTGTTTATCAACTAATAAGCTATTTCTAATTTTTACTTATATAATTAAAACAGTCAAATAAATGAATTAAAAGAATGATGGATTAAAATTAAAACATCTATTTTTTGCATTACTAATATTGTTGGCATAGTGTAGAAACTGATTAGCGGTTATTTTAGTAATTTTATTTATATTTTTATTACCATCATTTAATGTATCATTATACATAAAAAATAATAATAATATTATTATCATAATTTTATTATTTTATTCACAAATTATATTTATATAATAACTAGCAATAATAACAAATTAAAATATATATTTATAAAAATTATTGAGTTTCTACACCGAGCCAAAAATATATTTTGGGGCTTTTGACCTCAAGAATAAATACATTTGAAATTGATATTATTAAACACATCAATGTTTAATATAACATAAATATTTAAACAAAATTACGATTTTAACTAGTGGTAAGGTAATTAAATGACAAAATTTTAAAAAGTGTTTACTGCTTCGTTCACTCATAAAAACTTAGGTTTATCTTTGAAGTGGCTCAAAAAAATTCTATGATATTTGAATTAATAATTCTATAAATATTAAAACATTTTAACAATTTTAACAAGTTAGTTTTCTTTTAAGTAATACAGATTTTTCATTTTTTATAACAATTGATTCAAAATAAAATAACAATCTAGTTAAGATAATATAGCTAAAATAATTTTTCTGACGATAAGAATATACCTCTGTTCTGAGATAGCATTAAAAGCTACCATTTTAACTTGAGGAAATATTCTAGGAAGTACATTATAATGTGGAGCTGCTAATGTACTAAACTGACAAGATCTTGCATAAAATAATACCAATGTACAAGCTGCAATTGTTCGGCGATTTGTAATTTCAGGATCTGTTTTTAAAACATAACCAAGTCTTGTTGAATTTACCACCTATAATATTTATACAGAAATCTATTAAATGAATCTCTTTGATTTTATTAGAAATATTTCTTTTTTCTAAATAGTTAAAAATAAATCAATATGATTTACCTCAACAGAAACTTCAGTCATGTTTAGAGGAATAAAGTTAGTGCAGTTCACAATCCTAGAGTTATTAGCTGCTGTTATGTTTGATAATGGTTCATATACAGATGGGTGGCTTGTATTAGTACTATCAGTAACAAGTTCTGCATACAAGACTGAGGATAAAAATGTACTAAATTTAAATTCTTTACCTCCATTTGTAGTAGTGCTAGTAGTTAAATAAGCTTGCATAGTGGGAAGATAATTATGTTCTTCTTCTAATTTTTTCTAAATACAAAATGATCATAATGATACACAACTGCAATATTATACATTAGAGATTTTTTAATGTTTTGTAAACATACTTGAAAGTTTTTTATTGCATTGCTTATGGCTTGAATATCAGTTAACTCTGCCATTTGTGGTACAAAAGTAACATTCTTAGGAGAATCAGATGGTTCTAACGAAAATTGACTGTCATCAATATTTAAACTTTCATCTGAATCAGCTGTAAAATTATTTATTATGAAATAAAACTTAATTTAAAAAATACATTATTGCATTTACATTTTGATTTCTATGAGAAAGAAAATTCAAGATAATCATAGTAAAACATAGCAATTATATAAAAAAGGATAAAGATTGTGGCTTTCACTATAGGTATCATTACAAAAGTAGAGCAAAATAAAAGTTGAGAATTTCCTTGAAATAGTAAGCACAAAATAGATAATTTGCACAACAAAATACTGGGATTTTCTTTACATAGGGCGCATATATTCCAGTTTTTTGCCCCAAACTCAAAAAATTACTACTGTTCTGTAACTTATTCAGGGTTTTATAAATGCACAATACTTTGATTAAGCTATTAATTACTTTTACTTAAATTCCATACCTTTTGTCATTACACCATACATAAACAGCAAAAACATAATGTATTGTAGAAAATTCATTATTGAATTTTTAATATTTAATAATAAAATAATTATTATCAATAACTATAACAAATGAAAAATCATATTACAAATTTATATATAAATAAATTGAGATAATAACATTTTAGCATTCAATATTTTTTGTTTTAATTAACTACAAAATAGTATACAAAAATTTTATTTTGTGTTCCGAGCCTATAAATTATTTTGTAAAATAGAGGACTCCATAAAATTAAAAAAATTATTTATCAAATTTGCAGGACAAAATCTTAATAGCATAAGCCTTACATTATCAGCGTTACCATGGACGATAAGAAATTTCATGATAAAGCTAAAATTGTTTATTTTTCGTTATAGAGAGTGGGGTAAAATATTTTAATTTGTACTTTGGTTTAGTAAAACCAATACCTTTTCTCAGCTTCGTATCGAAGCTAAAATGTAAAACATAAAATCGAGAATTTTCACCGTGAAGACAAAATAAAGAATAAAAAAATTTTCTTTATAAAATATACTTTTAATAAAGTATATTACTTTAGTTTTAATTTAAGACATATATATATAAATGTCAGACTTTCCGGAACACTTTTAAAAGTTAAGTTGAAAAAGTAAATTTTTTGTGAAAAAATTGTCATTTTAAATCTTTCCCTGTGGGCAGGTAAAGGGTCAGATTTATAAAAAAAATATACCAAATGATATGTAAAGACATCAAGCATCCATAAAAAAAAGATTAATAAATAAATAATATAAACATTTGTTTATAAAATGTATAAATTCAAATTGTCTCAGTTAATAATATTTAGATACATAGGCTGTAGAAATACCACAATAATTTTTAATACACTATAAATAATGTCTTTTAGTTATCTATAGCTTTTTTCGAGAGGTTTTCAATTTATTATGATTCAACTTATCGATATTGTACTGTAAGACACTTAAAAATTTGTAATCATTGAAACACCAAATTAGTATTAAATCACTAAACAAGTGTGTGCAATAATTTAGATATGAATTTAATTCATATGTACACAAATTAAAGTAAAGTACACTTGACTTTAATAAAATGTCGTTTAATTTAATTAAAATTTGGTTGGTAATTAGTAGAATGAACTATTACTAAGAAACTTTTATATGTTATTTTATGAATTTATAGTAAATTCTAAATAATCAACTATTTATAAAAAATGGAACAGTGGAAAGGTTGTAATGCGATTGTTACGGGCGCAGCATCTGGTATAGGAGCTGCTACAACAATTAAGCTAATAAAAAATGGAATTAATGTTATTGCCTTAGATTTGAATCTGGAAAAACTGAAGGTATATTTATTTATAAATCTATTTAATGAAACTAAAAAGCAAACATGGTTAATTTGTCAGTTATATTTACAATTACTATTATTATTTTTTAATGATTTTAGAGCCTATAATGTTATAATTATTAGTTTTTATTTTTAGTCTCAACCATACATAATGATATCATCACAATGTAAACATTTTTGTTTTCAGAGATCCCTTATTATCTGGTAAAAAGCAGCAATTTTATGTTACTCAAACATTACTTTCTCATAAATTTTAGTTTGAGTATAATTTTTATGAAAAAGCTTATAATTTATAATTGTTTTGGGGTGATGGTCACTGTAGCAATGAGAAATTTAAGCTTAACAATTAAGTCGACATATAAAAAGAAAAAAGGATCATTGAAGCTCCTAAAATTATGGTACTAGACTCCTTTTTCCAGGGTATTGCCTTAGTCATATTATATTTTTACGCCAATAAAAAAGAGAAAGACATAAATGTAGCAATAAAGGCTTTCAACAATTTTTCCTTCTCATTTTTTCAACACATTTCAATTGTAAATTACAAATCTTATTACACTATTCAATAATAAAATGTTTTAATAAAATATAATATTTATATTGCTGTTGCGTGAAAATGTGAGTCATAAATTTGACGAATCATAAATTAATTACAAATTAGTCCATAGATTGGTTTAAGTTGTTATTTATGTAACATGATTATAATTATTTTACAGGAATTGGAGTGTTTCATAAAAAGCAATTTAGATATTCAAAAATATGGAATTATACATTCTAAAAAATGTGATATAACAGACGAGTTAGCTGTAAAAAACATTTTTTCATGGATTGATTCCACACTTGGAGGAGTCAGTATATTGATTAATAACGCTGGAATAATAATGCAAACATCATTATTGGGTAATTTTTTTTTTTAGTTTTTAAGTTTAATTCTTCACAACACAACGTCAATTGGTGTGAAAAATTTATGTGTAAAAAATAAAATATGTATATAATCACATATTTATTTATTTTTAACTCAGAGATATCAATATGTTTTAATTTTTTATACGTTTTTCTAAACGCGTTTTAAATAAACAATGAATATTGTAAAATATTTATTTAAAAACATATTATGTGCTTCAACGTAGTATTTGAATAAATTCCTTTACCTCTTCGAAAATTAACACTGTATAAAAAATGATGACTTCATTTTTTTATTAAATACTATTTGGGTATGATCGAATAGCTATGGTAAAATGTGAGCTATTAAGACGATAATTATTGTTGTTTTTTGCATGAATAATGAAATTTTTTTCATTTAGATGGAAAATTAAGTGACTGGGAATTATTTATGAAGATTAATGTCTTGGCGCAATGTGTATGTTCAAGGGAAGCATTCCAATCGATGTCAAAAAATAATACAAATGGACATATTGTTCAAATAAATAGGTAATTGATTTTTATAAAATTTGATTTGACTTAATACAACTATAAGTGTGTTGTTATAGTATAACTGGCCATAATATCACACCATACTTTGGGCATAAAATGTACAACGCAACAAAGAGAGCAATTACAACTCTATGTGAGGGTTTACGTCATGAAATTAATCTTGTCAATTCAAAAATTAAAATATCAGTAAGTATCTATATNCTTTGGGCATAAAATGTACAACGCAACAAAGAGAGCAATTACAACTCTATGTGAGGGTTTACGTCATGAAATTAATCTTGTCTTATTGTTTATTGTAATTCAAAATAAATTTATTCAAATTATTTTCGTTTTACATATTAAAGAGCATAAGTCCTGGTAGTGTAAATACTGATCTATTCAAAACAGCAAATTTCAAACCATCAGACCAAATAAAAAATAAAGTACCTATTCAGCCATTAGATCCAAAAGATATAGCCGATGCTATAATAACAGTACTTTCAACTTCTCCAAATGTCCAAGTCAGTATTAATAATTTATTATTATTGTTTGCATAATAGTTTTTAAGGGGGTGGTAAGGGCGGTCGCCTTTGGGTCACCCGTTTGTGAGATTATATTTATAAAATAACGTAGATTAGATCAAAATTATATTTGTCCTGGCATAAGCAAAACTAAACTAAACCTATACTATTTCATTAGCCTAACCAAAAAAAATATTGGATTTTTAACTTTTATTTTTAAGTAATGATAAAACTAGAATGATTTAGTCCTTCAACTGAAAGAAATGTAAAGGAGAGAAAATTATGTTGACCACCCGCTTTCAAAAAATTAAAAAAAAAAAAAATTTTTGATATTATTATGTTAACATGCTTATATTAGTTTCACCTGTATGTATCTTTGTAACTCTCCACGCGCCAAGTGTAATTATTCTCGCGTATCCCGTCGTCTATGACCTTAAGACTAGACTGTCGTAACGCATTCACCCCACCCCGCTCACTAAACGACGGCTACACTATTCATGTATAATTTTATTTTTGGTTTTCGTACCCGTACATGCTTGCGTCTTATCAATATTTTTATATATAAGAAAATTTTTATTAATTATTATTAGATATAAACATTTAAAGATTCAATTTTTTTATTAGTTAATATACATGTATAATATTTAAGGAAATAGAAATACAGGTAGCTAATTGGTTTTTTATGACGATATTCGCAGGTAAATAGCCTTTATTATCAATGGTCATAAGACACTTTATTGTGTTTTTAAACACATTAACTGACAATACAGAAATTATATCTATTGATAGTCATAATTTACAATAAACACTCTGTGACTGTGAACAGCGATGTCATAAAGACTAAAAAGTAAAAAATAAATATAGTTTAAAAAAACTGAAAAACACGCTTTTAAAGCATATCGAACTAAAAAGTTAAAAATAATTTTATATTTTAAGCTTAAAACAATAATGAACGAAAAATACTATTATTATTGTGAAAAAAACGGTAGCACAGTAAGACTTCTTGACTTGGAAATGTCGGTACATTTTTGAGAAAGATGTGCGTGTTGATTGTTACTATATTTTCTTGCTTGTAATCAGATTTTTTTTGCTGGCACCACGTATACCAAATGTATGCAATACTTATTAATTTTATTGAAATTATTTTTGCTTTAACTTTTTTTTTGTTAATTTATGATTACAAAATCATATTAACATTTAAAGATTGAAATTGTAAATATGTATTTAATACTTTTAGATACCATACATATATCTAAAATGTTACTTTTATATTTTTTAGATTGCAGAGTTGATTATTATTCCCACAGGATCTACAATCCAGCCTCATTGTGCTCCATCATTGAATAAAGAATTATAAGAACTTTAAAATAAAAATAGTCAAATCTTGTTATATCATATATGTTAGTAAAAAAAACATTATTTTTATTAATTAATGTAATATTGTAAAAAGTTAAATACTTGATTGAATTATATCAGGAACATCAAGAATTAGCCATAATGAACCTAAATTATAATAAATTGCAGATGCATCAAATTAATTTTTAACTCTAACATAGTTTATGTAAATGTTAAAATATTCAACATGTATTTTATATCTAATTTAATTCAATAGATGTATTTGTTTATGAATCTAAAAGTAATTTTCAGTTTACCTCAAATGATATAACTAAACCTCAACTTTCAATCAACTTAAAATACAAAAAAGAAAATATAGTTGAGGAAAATTTTTAATAAATTCTAAATTATTAATCAAAACTGTTTAAAAAAATACTAACAATTTTACATAATTTTAAATAGTCACTCTATTAGTTAATTGCATTAACACATGAATTAAAAACAATTAAATATTTTAAAGTAATATTGAAAAATATATTTATTTTGACAAATTACACATTTCAATACAAATGTCTTTTATTCAAATCAAATATATTTTATAAGTTTAAAAGTAAGAAAAAAAATTAAATTACAGAATCATAAATTAAAGTTTAACAATATTAATAATTAATGTAAATTTAGATTAAATAAAAATAAAAAATTACTGGCTTACATTTAAAAAGAATCACATTTAAAATAAATGTCAGCATTAAAATTAAAGACTTAAAATTTTAACATGATCATTAACTGTTTATAGATCTATTATTTATTAAAAGGATAAATTATCCCAGCTTATTGATAGAGTCTTTAATATCCTCAACATGGTCAAGTAATTTATTCCATTGTTGCATAGTTAATGATATTCCTATAATGAATCAAAATATTTATAAATTATGTTTATTATTTTTTTTTTAATTTATACCTTTTTTTCCAGGAAGTAAGTTTCCATCTTTTTCATAGAATTCACGTATGTCAACATAAAGTTTTCCCTTGAAATCTCTAACTTTAACAAAGCGATTCCTTTCTAAAACCCAAGAATGTTCTTCTTCATTAGAAGTACTTTTTTTAGTTTCTTTTTTTTCAGTTTGCTTAGACTTTTTTGGTGGAGGATTTCTCTGAAAAAAATAAACAATTATAGCACTTATATAAAAACTAGTATTGTCATTATTTTTTTAATTGGAACACAAAGGGTGTTCTGTTCATTTACATGCTGACAATTATGCGAGGTTTTAATCCCTAATACTGATACCTTTCCTGATTTCTTAGAAATATCTATATATATTAAAAACTCTTTTCGTAATCAGGTGGTTTATATTCTATTCCTTACGCATTAAGATTTTAACATTTTAGGGTATGTTATTTTGGATAATTGGTTTGATACAATCTAAAGGATCTTCTGATCAAACTCATTATAGTGTTTGACCATATTCTACGGTGTTGCTATCAATAGCCCAAATACCTAAATTGTGTAATCTTAGTGCTCTAACTTTAACCCCTAAGTGTACAGGAGGTAGCCAAATTAGTGTCCCCTCCATTGCCAACGTTGGTGTGGTTCTTATTATTCAATTATAACTTTTAACACCCATAATGACTATTGCAGTCATTCTTTGAATGCGTTTAAGTTCTTTCTTGATAGTAATAAGTGTTGTTCTGGTACTAAGATACCATACATAGCTATAGATTTAATAAAATATATAGTCAATACATAATTCTTAGTTGAAGGCCCCAGGTCTAACCTCCAAGTCCTTAATGAAACCATTTAAANCTTTGAATGCGTTTAAGTTCTTTCTTGATAGTAATAAGTGTTGTTCTGGTACTAAGATACCATACATAGCTATAGATTTAATCAATAAAATATATAGTCAATACATAATTCTTAGTTGAAGGCCCCAGGTCTAACCTCCAAGTCCTTAATGAAACCATTTTTACTCTTAACTCACTGTCTAGGATAATACCTAAATACTTTACCTCTGACTTAAAACCAATTTCTTGTTCATTCAGGGCAAATGTATCAAGACTGTTAAATTATCTTTGTTTGGGTTGATATCTTGACTATACTGATTATACCACAAGTATAACATGTAAATTTAAAAAAACCTGGTACAATGGAGATGCAGCAATGTTAGGACAAGTATAGATGATATCACACAGTGATAAAAATCACTATCATAAATAATGCTTTAATGCAAAGCTGTAGTATTATTTAACTTTTAGAAGTTTAACTTATATAAAAAGCAACATCAACTTCTATTCTTTTTATTATATCCTAATTACTAGTTATATGATTTATAAATATAACACATTAATAAATATACATTACTGTATAATAATTTCCACACACAAATTATACAGTAGTTTTATATACCATGTAATAGAAAAATAAGTATGGTTTTATATATAGATATATAAAAATTTATTTTATTATTTTTTTTGGTTTTTAAAAATGGGATTAAATGGGGTACTTACTGACCCGCCTATATAAATATGGTGTTTAAACTAAAATAGACATATTTTACATGTCTATTATAACACATATTTGAAGCTCAAAGTATTTCTGTAGCATTTTCAAAAGTTAAATTGAAATGGTAACTTATTATGTAAGAAGAACTATTTTAAATTTCCTTCTATGAGTAAATTAAGAATAAATTAAAATTTATCAGTTTTAAAAATTGTAATTTTTTAGGTGATCTTTTATTTTAAGGGAATTAGTGAAATATTTACAATTTTTGAGGTTAATGATTTAAAATAGGTATAATTTGTCATATTTATATGCATCATTAAAAAAAATCAGTCTAATGAGTTGATAAAAAGTAGAAGTGACAAACACAAAAGTATAAATGAAAGAATAAATAAATAAACACATCATAATAAATTAATACTTTCTCAGCTTCATATCAAAGTTAATACAATTTTTTTATTTTGACAAAATTATGACTGGTCATCAACTCTTTTGTCAATTCACTAAAGTTTGACTGATCAATTGACATTGTATCAATCCTACCATGAATACTAGTTCAAAATTTAAATAATTATATTTTAAACATTTTTTAGAATCTTTTTAACACAAAATGTGTTATTAAATAATTGTTGGGTTTAGTTTAATTAAATTCTATTTAGGTATCTTATTTTACTTTGTAAATATTAACTATAACATTATTTTACTGCCAAGTTTATTTGGAAAATTTAACAAAGAAACTTCTTAATTAAAAAATTATCATATTATTAATTTTTTAACCTTTGGAAACAATGAAAACAATATATTATAAGGATATAAATTTCATAGAACTTGGAGATTCAATTATAATTGTTATATTTCATATTCATTTTTTTAGATTTATTTCTTAATATTGATATTTTATTAAAAGTAACCCAATTAAACCAAGACTAGAAGTGTTCTATCTTTATATCACAAAAAGTAAAGCCTCCTTACACGAGTTAATGATTTTTGTTTATTAACTATTAAAAAAAATTGATAACATCACTAGTGAAGGGAAAAAAATGTTGACTTTTTTAGATTTGATGCGAAGTTGAGAAAGTATTAATTATACCATGATGTGTTTTTTTTTATGTCTGTTACCACTTTTTCTCAGCTCTCACCAAACCGATTTCTTTCAAGGATACATCAAAAGATCACAAAACGTATCTAGTCGAAGATATTATCCTCAAAAATTGAAAAAATTTCTCTCGTAAATGGGGGAAACTTCCAAAAAAATTACAAATTAAAAATCGATAATTTTCGATATATTTTCAATTTTTTTATTTAAAACTGCCATAACTTTTTTAAAAATGACCAAATCAATATAATTATTTTTTATATAGTTACATGAGGTACTTACCTATCATTTTGTATATTTTTTTTATAAATCTGACCCCTTACCTGACCATAGGGGGGATTTAAAATGACAAATTTATTACAAAATTTTAACTTTTGATAGTGTTCCGGAAATATTGACACTTTTGTATACATCTTAAATTATAGATAATGTCATCATGGTGTATTAAAAATTATTGTGGTATGTTTACAGCTTATAAATCTAAATAAATTAACTGAGACAATTTAAATTTATAAATTTTATAAACAAATATTTGTACTATTTATTTATAAATAAAATAAAAATTTCAGGTATAAGTTAACATTGACCAATTTGGTTTTCAGTTTTCCTACAAAAAAAGAATATTTTCAAGGAATCAAATATTTTTAATCAAAGATCAAAGGTGGAAATAGAATTTTGAACTTGGAATAGCTTAATTTTTTAATCTATTTATTAATAAATAAATGTGTTCAATATTACTGTATATAACATTAATATATATTTATTCCTATTATTGTAGTATTTATTTGTATTGCATGATAAAACATTTTTACTGAGACAACTACTTCCAAATTTTAGCTTTGTTACTAAGCAGAGAAGGTATTAACTTTTCTATGAGGTGTTGATTATCTTTTTTTGAATTTGTATATACTTTTTCTCTACTCTCACCAGACCGAATTCTTTCAACGATCTATCAAAAGATCACAAATTGTATATAATCAAAGACATAATCCTTAAAAATTGAAAAAATTTTTCAATGTGTTCCCTTTGTACAATGACATTGTTCCAATGACATTACCTTTGTATTCCGTAAATGGGAAAAATTTCCAAAAAAATTACAAATTTAAAAATCACAAATTTTTTTTCAGTTTTTTTCACTTAAAACTGCCATAACTTTTTTAAAAATGACCAAAACAATATAATTTTCTTTATATACAGATACATGAGGTACTTACCTACATTACATATATTTTTTTTATAAATCCGATGCTTTACATGCCCACAAGAGGGGATTAGAAATGACAACTTTTTTACAAAAAAATTAACTTTTGAAAGTGTTCCGGAAATACTGACATATATATATATATATATTAAATTAAAGCTTATATAATAACTTTAATATGAAAAAAAGAAATTTAGGACTTTATTTTATTTTCATGTTGAAAAAGGACATCCAAGTAAATAAAATACGATTTTTGTAAAAAAAATTGTTTTATATTCTTAACTTTATAATGCTATAAAGATAAATATTAAAATTTTCATGGTTATTTGTTTTAAATGGTTAATAAAAAATGATTAAAAATAATCTAAGTAATCAAATTGCATTCAAACATCAACTATAATATGATTCGAACATGAATAATATAATAATAAATAGTTTTGTACTAAACAAGTAAAATGACTGAAGTGCACTTTAATCAAAATTCACTTGGTCATTTTTTTCAAAAGTATATTTTTTCATCTCATCGCTACTTAAATCAAATCATAAAAAATTATCGAGATATTAGAACACATAACTAAAAGTTTTATAAGTCACATTATTAAAATAATGTTATTAATATTTTTTTGAATATTTAAAATAATGGATTTAAAATGTTTTTTTTTATGAACATTAGTTTTAAATAAATATGAACTATTCAACAGATTATATACACTTACATCATCAGGTCCAGAATCAGATGTATCGTCCGAAGATACCGTACGTTTAGATTTTTTTGGTGCCATATTTTATATAGATTTATAAAAGTGCGTTAAAAAAAATTTTAATTGAGAATAACGATAGCCTAACAAATAAAACGCAAGAAAATTGATAATTTTTGCGCGCAGCTGGAAGTACATGAAAAAATTACAAATGGCCGTTATGTTGGCGGCGCATGACACAATAACAAGAAACTTCTAGTATAGTAATAGATTAACACAATATCACTACCGCAGATTTACCGGTATTATTGACAACATTTTGTGATAACAAAACCATAATATATGTATGAATAATTACAGAATAATCAAATTTTATATAAATAAAAACCATTATATTAAGAGAAATTGTCCTTTCTTTACATTTTGCTTGGTCAATTTTCATAATCGTTATGTATTATAAAATTAAAAAAAAATTATTTTCATTAGATTATATTATGAACGCCAGAATTAAGAGCATTGTTCTATAGATTAATGATTAATGAAATATAGTAATTCGGCCGAGTACACTGTTTCCAAAGTATTTTTTGGATAAAAAAATTTAATTAAATAGTTAGAACCACAATTATAGGTAAGACAGATTACTCAACGAAACGTATTTTGTGAAATCAAAGTGTCCCCGTCATTCTCGTTGAGATATACATCTAGCCTAGTGCAATAAATGATTCGACAATTTTTGAGTACATATTGACAGAGTGTCATTTATGTTTGAGAAATGGTATCCTTTTAGAGGCGCTTAAAAAATATTCATTGGGCAGGTAAAAGTCCTAGCTACACGCCTGGTTAATGGAATATTTTTATATTAATATGAATTGTAAAGGTAACTATGACCTATTTGTATAATGATAAGTCATCTAGCAAACAACGAATGAAACTAGTTTTTATTGTTTATACTTTAACACTTTTGTTTAAAATTATTAAGCCAATTATCTTGTATTTAATTAATTGTTTTTTTAAGAATTTTTTTCTGTATTGTTGCATTATTTAAATACTATTTTATATTTTTCTACATTTTAAAAGAATAATTTTAATTGAATATTTGAATCTTTAACTGTTCTCTAATATAAAAATTATTAACTTTTTTTATACATCTAATTAAATTTTATCTTAATAAATCTAAAAAAATTCTCTAGTATTACCTTATTAGATAATAATTTATTATTATTTCATGTGTTTATGAATTTTTTTTTAGTATACCATTATTACATTATGAATATTGACGTATTATCATGCTAATATAACAAATAAAAAAATATCAACTATTAATGTAGTTATACGTTCACTGTATGGAAATATAATAATATTTGACTGTAGTGGAAATTCCCTTTCAAATGATGTTGGGTAAAAAAAATTATTAGTTTATAATTAAAAATAATTTAACTTATATTTTCATTTTTTTTAGATAAAAATTCTGTTAGTTATGCTCCAATCCTAAGACGTGATTTTTTTTTAATAAATCTTAACTTAAGTTTTAAAAATATTATACATTATAATTATTACTCATAGCTATAGTTAAAACTCAATACTTCTACTGTTTTAAACTATTCACTATAAATTACATTAGTTTAGATTTATTATTTTTTTAAATAAAGAAGATGCTTGAAAATTTCCGGAAATATAATACAGAGAAAATTTTTATGTAATTTCTTTAGAAATATTTGTGAAGTTAGAAATTTTTATTCTAGAGCCTTAATTTAATATTTTCTTCATTTAATCATTACTATTTTAATTTTAAATAAATGTAAATACTTTCAAATATATATTATTAAATATTTATCGGACTTTTTTCGTCTAGGTATAAAAACTATAAGTTAATAACTTAAATATAGTCATAACACGTATCTCGCCAACAGTATTGTTTGTTTATATTTTAAATAGTAATAACTTCTGAAATACTGGTTCAAAATTTAGGTCAGACATTTTCTATTTTATACACTAGTTAAATATGTATTTAGTCATTAAAACAAATACATTCAACACTCTAAAACTAAAAAAGCCTCTCTACCTAAAAAATTACCGATATTATCTTTATTTGGTTAGTAATTAAATAGGTTGAGACAGATATATCACTTTTATTATAAAAATTACATAATAGCATTATTTAATAATATTTTCTATTTTATAACGCGAAGAATAAGAATATATAACTTACATTTTTAGAACGTATTTTCTATTATAATAAAAGAAATTGTACATTTTCTCTAAAAATAGATCTCTTTCTAAATAAGCTGTCCTAATTTTGTCAATGGAATCTATTTTATGTAACTTTTTTGTATATAAATCCATAAAGCATTTTTGTGAAAAATAAATATAATTTGCACGTATTATTAATTTAATACATATCATTTTAAACTTTTCAAATGAATATAAATTCGGACTCTAATTATGACTGACGGTAAACATTAATATCAATAAACAGTTTTCAAATTATCATAAAACCAATTTTATACATTTATTGAATTTCCATTTTTGATAGAAATTTTTGATGGTAGAAGGAATATTGCATTTTAGTAATATCTAATTTGTAGATTTTTAATTTACAAAACTACTTACAGAGTATTTATTTTTACATTCTTTAGAAAATCACGTATGTACTATGTCTTAATTTTTAAAGTGTTTAGCAAATAGAGTAGAGTTGTCTTTTACTACTCTACCTAGGAATTAGAGTTTTCTTTAAATATTTATAAATAATCTCAAAAATAGTCAAAGATACTACTAACCAAATATAATTTCACATATAAAAAAGGATGGTTTTTATTAATATTAACATTTGGTTCTTAATTATAAGCCAATAATAAATAATACATTTTTTTTAATAACATAAATTATTTATGTAGATTGTTCAATAAAAAAGAAAACTGGTTACTATTGTTCTCATTGTTTGTAACAATGGACCCGTTTCCTTACTTACTGAACATCTGTATTAAGTAGTGATGGGCATAATCGAGATATACAGGGTGGCCCACCACTCACTGACAACTTAAATAACTTTTGATCCAGTTAATATTTTTAGTTGATTTTTTTTTTAAATAATATTTATACGTTAGGTCTATAGCTATATCTCAATAATTAATTTTTTTACGTTTTATTAAAAATATTAATTATTTTAAAATTTTAAATAAAATGTAAAAAAAAAATCTAAGATAGCTATTTTGTAGAGTAGAATTTAAGAAAAATTTTAGTAAAAAAATATCTTATTAATATTCA